CATCAATATCACTCTCCTTTCGGCCAGGTCAGGTGCCAGCCCTATGCAGAATGCCATGCATGAGTCCTAATGAGGAAGGGGGGGGGGTGAGATGCCAGAATTTGGTGTGTGTGTGTGTGTGTAAAGGGAGGGGTCGTCGGTGGGAGGCATCGCCAGTTGGCAGGCTGGCACACAAAGGCTGGCACGATAAGATCCTCCCTCTTCTGCGGGCAGATTTTCTCGCCCATATCTTTTGTTTGGCTTGTTTGGGTTGCGGCTCATCCTGATAAAGGCCACTTTGTTTAGACAACAAAGCGTGAGGGAGGGAGAGAAGGGAAAGATAGAGAGACAAAGAGAGAGAATGAGAGAGAAGGGTTGGGTGGGTTGGAGTGGGGGGTGATGGGGGGCATTAGAAAAGGCGGCAACGGGAGTGTGGGGGGCACCGGCACAGATGGAAACATTAAAAGAAAAAGAGAGAAAAGTGTTAAAAGAAGGCGACGCGAGAAGGAAAAAAAAAAGAGAGCGCGCACCTCGTACTGGATAAGACATTATCGTTGCAGATACACGCTGAACAGTAGATATGCACACAGAGGCGGGTATGAAAAGATACAATAGAGGAGGGATACTGTTGCAGGCACAGGGACAGCGATAGACAGATAGCGAGGAGAAGAAAAAGATTTGGAGAAGGGAGCAGGTTCTGCTGGAAGCCAGCCCGAGTAGTGTGAGGTCATCGACAAAAGCTGTGAATGATAGAAACCAGGAGCAGAGGAGGACACGGGACACACACACACACACATATTACATACCAGCACATGTACAGTCATTTATGCACGCCGTCACGACTTGTGTGACCCCTGTGCTGCACATACACGGACACACAAGCACTTGATACGTATTTGGACTGTGCATTTCCAAGGAAGGACAAAGTGGAGGCTCCCGCACCGGAAGAGGAAAGAAAAGCAGGAGGACACTGAGCAGAAAGTCTGCTCGGCCACATCAAATATTTACTCAGGAGCAGCTGTATTGTCGAAACATTACGCATCGGAGGCGCTCCGTAATTAGGTCGATATTTTCTGCCCCTCTCCCTCTTTCTGTTTCCCTACTTCTCTGGGAGTCCACCCCTCTGCACCTCTCCTCCGCACACTCCCCTCCCCTCGCCTCCCCAGGCTGCTGAAATGCGTCTTGGCTCGGGACCCATGCCTCTGGCAGCCAGAGTGCTATACATGTGCACAGAACCCCGCTCGGCATAAAATGGCTGCCAGACAGGCTTCTCCTCCTGAAATGTCGACAGCGGTATGCATCTGCAGGGCGTGCGTGTTGCGCGTGCGCACTGTTTTTTTGTGGAGGATATCTGTACGCGTCTGCAAGTGTTTGCGGACTAGAAACGTGCACCGCAGTAATCCAAAAAAAAAAAAAAGAAAGAAAGAGAGAAAGAAAGAAAGAAAAGGGGGGGAAAAAGCAACTTTCCCAAACTATGTGGCTAATTTAACCCACACTGTGTGCGTATGTGCATGTGTGTTCTGCAATTTAGTGGGAACAGAATGGGTATCATGCCAAAAATGAAGAGGGTGGGTTAGGGAGAGTGTATGTGTGTGTTTTAGTGATTCTGAAATCCAGGCGAGCAACACACTTGGGCGTGGAGAAACCTCACAAGCACTGCGAAACTTTCTTGCCGAGCCAGATTTCTGTTGCCATTACCCCTAATTGCCCTAATCGTTACAGTGGTATGATAAGTATCCCACCGGACAAGAAGGTGTAAGAACTCATGGACACATCCAAAATACCCACAAGCCTTTTCTCCTGCTTTTTTCTTCCCCCTCTTTCTTTTTTTTTTTTGCTGAGTAACAACAGATAATCTGATTCATACGTGGTACTGTGTTTTTTTCTGCTTCCTTCATGAACCGGTTTGTTTATTTAAACAAGTGGCAGGGACGGAGGGTGCCAAGAAATGTTGTTTTTGGAAAAGGGCCGCGTGTGTATATGTGTGCGCGCGCGTGTGTTTATGTGAGAGGCCGCGTGTGTGCGGTGTCTGGCCTCGCGATCGAGCCCTGCCAAACTCCCAGGGCAAAGCCGAGCCTCCTCGACCGCAACTGTTTATTTACAGGTTACACTACTGTTTATTTGAAGACTATCGGATTGGCTGGGCTTCTGCAAAGGACACCTTGTAGATACAGATACCAGGCCTCAGGCTCGTGCTTCACCACATGTTTACTTTGTGCAATCTTTTTTTTCAGAATAGCCTCTTTTATATGAAATTTCATTTGATATTTTGGAGTTCAGCACGGTTATCTTGTTTGCACAATTTCAAACGAGCGCTTTGTTCTGAAGCCTGTTGCATCACAAGCTAAGACTGTTCAATCCTACCTATTTAGTCATCTAAATAGATTTGATAGAAAGTTGATTTAGTGAGGTCGCACTAAACAAATAAAAAATGCATGCAGAAAACACCACGGGGCATGAAAAGCCCAGAACGAGAACGAGAGATAAAACGAGCACATCCGCAGACTCCCAAATGTGCAAGCGTCTTATTAAATATTTTAATCAAACTGAAAAAATAGAGGGAGCGTGAAGCTGCCCTTCTTGGGTCAAAGATAAAATGTAATGCAATAGGGGAGGTGTTTCCAGCTCTGGTGCAGACCTGGCAGATGTGCCATATGCTTGTATCCCACCTTGAGTCATCCAGGTGGTCTCTCCTGGTGCTACAGTGGGGCCTCATGCTGGAAGATGCTGCCTGGGATCTCTAATTGCCACGACCATCTGCTCTTTTTGTCATGGTTGCCTGTTCAGCCCTCGAAGAAGTAGAAAAAAAATAAAGGAAAAAGGAAAACAAACAAAAAACCGCACAACTCTGATCCGATCTAACCGAACTGTAGCAGCTCTCCCACCTCCCCGCTCCCTTTTCCCCTCCCCGCGCTGCCTTTTCAGCATTTACCTCCTCCCTACTCTCTTGTGCTCTTTTCTCGCCCCCTGCCTGTTTCTCTCCCTCTCAGCACTTCTCGGGGAGCCAGCGTAGAGTTGGCAGTCGTAACTAGACTGATGGATGACTCGGAAAGTGGCAATTGGGATGGAGTGGGGGGGTGGTGGTGGTTGGATCGGGGAGACAAGGCCACTGAGTGTCGTGCGATAACTTTATGGACATGTGCTAACTTCACGTAAAAGTTTGTGCGAGTGTGTGTTTGTAGGAGGAACTCTCTGTGTGTTGGTGGAAGGCAAAGAAAGCTATTTGGCTGATGTCTGAAATTGATTTGAACACGTTCAATGTGCAAGTTGCGATGTCACGCAGATTTTAGTATTGACCAAATCTACTCTAATAATTTAAATAGCTGACTACTCATTTAAATAATTTAGTGAGGAGCGGTATCATTTGTTTTCTGGCTTCCCAGCTTGTCAAGTTTAGTTTTTTTCTGTTTTATTTCAACTTTAAATGAAGTCTTTTTTTACTGCTGATCAGCCCAACAAACAAAAAGATCCATAGTTCGATCCTGAGAGGAGACAATATCCCTTTTTTTGAAGAAAGAAAAAATAAAATAATGTGGAGCTGCCCGCTGTGGCGACCCTTTGTGAATAAGGGAGCAACCGAAATTAGCTTTTTAGGAGAAAGCTCAAACAGCTGAACAGTTCGATGATGAAAGTACAAGTCGCGCTCAAGTTTTCACATGTTTTGGAAGTGTAGCAGATCTGTACCGTTGGCCTTTAACTTGTATGTTACGCATACATTTTTTAAAAGTTAAACATTAAAAGCGGGATTTTTTTCCCCCTTTGCTTAATGTATGGTCCTGTTCCCTCCCTGCTTTGTCATTGTTGAGCTTCGGCCAAGAACATTCTGTTTTTGCAGTCCTGTTTAATAGTCAAATTTAGGAGTGGGGGAACGAGAGAGAGAGAAAGAGAGAGAGAGAGCGGGAGAACCACATAGGGAGAGAACAAGAAAAGAATAAATCTTTCAACGTATTTTTTTTTCCCCTTCTCTTCCACCAGCCTCTCTTTTCCTTCTCTCCGTTGCCTCTGTAACGCAGCTCATGAGAGCTGCGGCAGGAAAAGGGGTGTTGTTCCAAGGCGAGGGTATCTGAGTTCACCGTCTCTGGCTTCTTGGGTCTCATGTTAAATGTGTAGATGGTAATCTCTCTGCTGCTTCTTAGTGCACCCCGTCTGTCCCGGGGCATGTATGGGCTTGGACTGGTTTGAACTATTATTGGGGTCCCATTAGGAGCCCCCTGCCAGGCATTGCTTGGTCTTAATATACTTTAGCGTGCGGTTATAATATCCTGTTTATACCGATGTTGACTGTTATGCTGCACGACTTATAAGGAAACAAAAAAAGGTGCCTTTGATCAATCACTGGGCGATGACGAACTCATGAGGAATGATACGTTACCCTCCCAGTTAGGCTGGCAGGTAAAACACATCAGTCCGCGTGGCCTCATACCACAGCCCTGCGCACCATAACCGGTGGAAAGAATTCCACTCATGTTTCCTTGTGTTTCCCCACCCCTCCTGTCCTCTCTCTACGTTTTTTGTTCTGTGCTTGTACCTTGCGCAGCAGGACCAAACACATTTTGTATGCCCCTCACCCCTTCCTCCCAACACACCCCCAGCCTCTTTGAAAAATTACCCAGAGGTCTGCGGGTAAAAACATTTAGGTTTATAGGTTAGTCCGTGTCAGACGCAGAGCTTTTGCTTCAGTTTACTCTCTCATTAATGATAATCCTGTTCAAACAAAAACGACTTGTTCATTGTGCAGTGGGTGCACTTTCCTGGAGAAACAGATAAGGAAAAAAAGAGGAAAAAAAAACCTTCACGCGCTCGCGCAGCAAATGACTTCTTGCTCCCACAAAGGTGTTACATGTTACAATAAGAAAAAACAAAAATAAAGTCGGTTTGCATAGTTACGTAATTTTTCAAGTTGCACGATTTGACCTTTGCTGGAAATAATCAGCGCTGACAAGAAAATATTTCACTTTCAGCGAGACGTTGCTGCCTTCTTTTTGAGCTAATCCCCGGCCCTTCTTTCTGTGTGTTTGCAGACTCTCAGCAGTCAGGAAGTCCAAGTAACAATGAGCCAGGCAAGAACCCTCTTCCAGGTATGTACACTGCCAGTCATCCTCCCTCCTGTCATCAGTCCATTGTTTTCTGTGCAGCTTTCCAACTGTACAGCAGCTTATCTACACTGTAACCTACTGAGTTTAAACAGTGTGCTAACCTCTGTGACTGGAAGGGAAAATACCTAAGTATACAAGCTATGTTTAAGCAGACCCGAGGTATATACCAGATGGTCCTCTGTGTGAATACTCCAAAGAAATCGTCAGCACAAACCAGATTTAGCTAAACAGACAGTTGGTAAATGTTTAAAAAAAGTAAAATTCAAGTTAGTATCACTTTTGAAAATTCCCTGGCTAAAGCCTAAGTTGTAAACTTTATGTAGGCTAAGGAAAGAATAACATTTGAGTTCATCACCCTAGCTTCTGTGTTTTCAAAAAAATCCAAAAAGATCTGGAGTGAAAATGTTACAGCATATTGCGCCTTTGGCTGGTAGTTGAGTGCGTCAAGGTGAGCCAGCAGAGCTGAGCTGTAGAGAATATTCTTTGACAGTGCCGTTGTTCCCCTGGACTGACCTGCACTGTGTCGTCACAGTGCTGGAATGAAAATAGTTTGAGAAGTATAATTAGTTTTCTACCTCAAGAGCAGGTTCTGCTGATACCGGTGCCAAGAAAAACATGCTAGCGAGCCAATGACTCAGGCCTGGGAGGCCTTCGGCAGTGGCACAGTTCCTCGCAAAAGCCATTGGCTCACTTGAGGCATTAAGCTTAGTAGGTGCCAATCGAGATGCCCATCTATCTTTCTGGCACAGCCCGAGTGCCTTTGGCTTTAAATCAAAGCAGAGCCAGCTTCATTTGGGTGTCAGTAACTTGTCTGAGTATTTTACATGACTGACAGCATCTGATTAGCGCTGATGAGTTCTGGGCAGGGCATACACACTATAGTGTAAACCGGGGAAGAAAAAACACACACACACACATTAGGGGTACTTTATTTAGTCTGAAAATGGTTTTCTAAAAAACAGAAGAAGAAAAAAAATCTGGCTGTGCTTAAATAACCGTGTTCTACCTCATTCAGAGCAGCTTCGTTTAAAAAAGAAAACTCGAGCAGTCTAAGGTTCTGCAAATGATCGTTTTTATGATTATGCTTTTCTGCAGCTATTTCATGCTGTTATATCGTAACAGTGTCAATATTTACAGTGGTGAAGTTCTACCATTGTATTGATCAAACGGGCAGGACCTGCTGTTCAGCACGGACTCGTCTTCAGTTCTCACAGCAGCGGCAGCCTGCGTGTCCTCCGCCTCTCTCTCACACACACACACACAC